TGTCCTTAATGCTTACTTCGATCACTCCTACACAAACTATTGAATAATTAATAAAACGTTTGTTATTATATTTTGTTAATAGATCTTGTCTTTAATGCTTACTTCGATCACTCCTACACAAACCATTGAATAATTAATAAAACGTTTGTTATTATATTTTTGCTGCAGAATCGTCCCTACACGGAATAACTAATTGGTTTAACTTTGATAGACTTTTGATAATTATTGTTTATTGAAATATTATTAATAAAGGATGGTTACCTTTGTTGAAAGTTGATTCCAGAAAATTTTAATTATGAAACTTTTGCAAATATTTCACGGAAATCATAAAATAGAACGTGAGATGACAGGGAAATTTTTTATATTGTCGAGTAGTCAAAGAGTAATGATGATGATGATGATGACAATAGAAGGCAGTAAAGGTGATAATAACAATAACAATAATAACGGTAAGTAGTAAATATATGTTTGTTATTTTCAAAAGGCTAATATACAAAAAATAGTAATATACATATAACATAAACATTTCTTATAATAATAATTAAATGACAATAATGATCATTATTATTATAATTACTATAATTAATATATTTTGGAGATGTTTGAAAAAAAATTTAGGTATTCTTCAACTTTTCCAATAGCGATATTACTATGGACTGTTTTAATTGCAGGTTTAATACAATTATTATTAATTATACGTAATTCGGAATTCACTCACTTATTAATTAATATACATTATTATCATTATAAAATTAATTATACATAAAAAAGATATCCAATATTCAAATCCTGATAAAAAAATCAATACAAGTCTTGTTGTTTGGATAGTTGGTTATTTTAAAAACAAAGAACGTCACAAGGGCAACCATCATCATCTAAAAAGCGAAACTTTATTACAGCCAAAAAACATCGAATTAGCAATACAATATCCAATTAGCCCAGATCAAGTAAGTGACATATTAAAAGAGTCCGGAATATGCATGTTGTCAAAATTAATTGGCTTTGACTAATACCAAAATCTCAATTTTAAATTGCGTCTGAATTATTTTATTTTTCATGACTCAATTATTTGCGTCAAAAATCACACATACTTTTGAAGTCTATCACGTGTAACTTTTGGACTCAAACTCTATATAGTAGTTTGATGTTGAATATTAGGAACTTTATTTAAATAACTAATAATGTTGATCCTAAATTTTGCCATCATCTTTCTTCTCTATTACTAACTACTAGGGAATGATTTTTTGCATGATATCCTAAATTTTGAAATTTGGCTATAGCGATAATAATATATTGTAATATTAGTAATTAGTACAATTTTAGAAACCATATCCAGAAATTCAAAGTTTGGTTGGGTGATATTGTTACGAATATTATTATTATTATACACTTGACCAGCTGTCAGTCAAGACTCGCTTCAACGAATCTTGTTTCAACGAATTATAATTAGATTGATAATTTTGGTATAACGAATTTTAGACGCAATTTTTCTGTGTCTCCCCATAGTTTCGTTGATCAAACACGATACCTTTACTCTCTTCATTCTCACTCTAATTAATCAAATTAATTGTTAAGAATTTAATCCGCAGAATTGATACGGAAAACTTTCAATGTTTTTTTTTTCGTTGAAAATTAATTTACTATGTACAAACCAGGGCTGGCAGCATAAAGGGATTAAAATCCTAATTAGCAATAATTGGTATTGACTAAACTAACATATTAATTTTAAGAACTACTCGAAACTTGACCACGTAATTTCTCCCAACATTAAAGTCCTGGGAAATCATTTGCAGGAGAGTTAAATAATTTTCTTTATTGTTTCTAAATAAAAATTTGTTTTCTATTATTTATAATTTTATTAAGGAATGTATTATTAATAACAGT